AGCTGAGTGTCCTTTCGGCTTTGGCCCAACCACTTCATTAGCTCTGGAGCTACTTGTCCTTGTCCTCTGCTCTTCCTCAGTAGCATGTTGGATGCCTTCCGACCTGAGGGTCCCATCTTCCAGCGTCGCATCTTTTAGCCTTTATTTTCTGTTCATGAGATTTTCTTGGCAAAGATACTAGAGTGGCTTGCCAGTTCCTGCTCCAGGTGGATCGCATTTAGTCAGAAGTCTCCACTGCCTACATTACATTTGATAAAATATTCAACTCTATCTTATTTACTGTTAGTTCAGATCAATTCACATAGAATAGGATGTTTGCATTTCAAAGGTCCAGTTTATTATGTAATTGGATCCAAGATTCCTTATGGCACAGCTGTTCCCAAATTACAAAAACAGAACACTGTCATATGGGATACTAAGAAATTTAAGCAAAGTCACCAAACAGTTTAATAATAATATTATTAATATTAATATTATTAATATTAATAATAATATTAATGAGAACACTTCTTAATAACACTTAATAAGTTTTCTCCTATTCCCACTCCAAAGAAAAATCACAAGTCAGGACACATTAAACTGTTGCAGTAGAATGTACACATGCAGATTACAATAGGTAGTTGTAAAGACTGCATTACAAAGGCTCAGTCATAAGACAAGATAGTACGTATACAGAAGAAAGGATAACCACATAGGCTACCCTCTCATGAAAACAGATAAAAACAAAAATAAATAAATCACAGTTCGTTTCAAGTCAACAAAAATAAGCTATCATCATCTGATGAATGACGTAAACAAAATAACTCTTTAACAAGCTACTGAATTGGTAGAATTCAGTCTTCTATTTTTTCCAGAGCATCCATATCTTCAGGATCAAGTCGCATGATGAACGTACCTGAAAAGCAGGCACAAGTTAATTGATATTTTGCTCACAGGACAGGGCATTGCAGAACTCAACATACTACTCAAGGATTCTTAAGGCATTCCTTAGCAGTGGCAAGAAGAGGTTAGTCAATCCTCCTCTATGATGTACAGGGTTGGCATGTGGAGAGGAGATACCATGTGCTGTTTTTGTATACAAACACAAAACAATATAGAATATCTAATTTTCATTCCAATGCAACAATGAGCTGTGGATAAGATTCCATAAGGCTCTATGAAGACAACATTCTAAGGGCGTGTCTACACCAGGCACTTTAAGCAAGCTGCATGAAAAGACCTTCAACGTTGTGGGAAAGAAGAGAATACTGCCAAACGGTGTGACCAGATGGGCCTATTCTCCTGTGGTTTGGTCTCAGTTGGAAACAAACTAGTCTGCTCCTTTTCCTGGTGACCATGCAGTATAATGCCATTGCAAACCATCCTGCCCCTCGTTAATGCTATTGTGCTTCCTTTTGGATCCCTGTCAGGGGCTACTGTTGTTGGGTTGTTGTCGTTTTTATTATGTGCTTATTTTGTTTCGGTCCTGGTGTCTGATTGCTGGATTCTAACCAAAGCAGATGGCTGAAACTAGCCCTTTGTATAAGCCACTGAACTATCCTGAGAAATGGAAAGCCTCCTTGCAGCTCTCCTGTGTAGGGGACAGCAGAGGATGTTTTCCATATTGTAACGCATCTGCAATGCTTTTTAAATGCCCTTTCAATATACTGCTGATGCGCAGTGTCTGTTACCAACAATTAAAAAGAAATGGAAGCTTTGTCTCCCTCTCCACAGTGAAGAGGATTGTTAAGGAGCTTAGGCAAAACACGGAGGAGAGGACGAGGGGGGGGGCTTCTGTTTTTGTTTCCCTCCCCTTTTAAAAGGAGACAAGATCAGTCTAGATCATGCTAAACCAGGTTGCCAGAGGTGTGGTGTCTCGCCTTGCATATGACATAATGCAAACTGAATGCATTTTGAACAAGATCTCTGTAGCATCTTTTCCCTTTGAGAAGGAAGGATGAGCTGACTCTTAAAAAATATAGAAACTATCCATCCATGTACTTTAAACCTTAAACAAAATAGCAGTCATCCTAGTTTGGGTCAATAGCATAAACAGTGTGATTTTGTGCCAAAAAGGAGGCAATTTTGTAGACATCTTTCTCATCGGTGCAAGAAATCTACTAAGAGCACCTGGAAATTCTTATCATCCTTGCTCATAAAGGGAAGAATGTTACAGTTCCTCATTCTTATGCATAAGGACAAGATAAACACATCTTTTCAGTTGTTATTTTCCTCTCTAACAAATGCTTTCTCCAAAGAATTCTGCTTTGTGCCTGTACTGCTATCTTGTTCCATTTCATTACCATGTTGCATTCTATTTATTTTTTTTAGCTTCTTGTAATATACCCAGAGTACAAAACCAAGAATGGTTAACTAGATAGTAGGCACATTAAAATAAACACCTAGCTACTTACTTGTAGTTTCCATTTTATAACTGTGGAACAAACTGAAAGCAAGTGAGCATATTTTTGAAGAGGGATTCAAATAGTGATTAACCAAGAAATCTAATGTTCTACCTTAGACAATACTTACTGAAGTGCTCTTGAATTGAGAGCAGCAGTGGCAAATTATGTCTTTCAACCATGTTGAACGCGAGGCCTTTCTTCCCAAAACGGCCTGTCCGACCAATACGGTGCAGGTACGTCTCAAAAGCAGCCTCCCCAGTCAGCGTTGTAGGCAAGCTAAAGTTGACCACAATTGTGACCTGTTGCACATCAATACCTAGAGTGCGACAGAAATGAGAAAATGACCTACTACTGATGTGTCCATGCTAAATCAACAACTCAGCTTGCTTTTCTTTCTCCAAACCTTACCTCGAGCACAGACGTTGGTCGTAACGAGAACTTTGTGTTTGCCGTCACGAAACCTCTGGATCACATCTGCCCGTTGTTCAACTGTAAGCTCCCCACTTAGTAGAGCTACTTGATGGCCATCTTTCGACAGCGAACAACACAGCCATTTTGCATTTCTACGGGTCTACCAGGAAACGTAGGAAATAAGAGACAAGCCAAGATTATGACTACCGCCACTCTGGAAAACGGCCAGATTTTGTTTCAGTATCTAGCATTTTCCGTACTGCAATTCTGCACTATCCATTTCTCCCACGTAGACTTCTCGAACACAACTATTAATACTGAAGACTGTGTATGTACCATAGACCAAAGTACAACCTTTCTTATGTTGTCAGACAGCAGTTCACAATACAGTGGTGCCTCGCAAGACAAGCACCCCATTTAACGACGAAACCGCATTACGACAAACTTTTTGCGATCGCAAAAGCAATTGCTTTACGATGGTTTCAATGGGGGAATTTCACTTTATGATGATCGGTTCCCTCCTTCGGGAACCGATTCTTGCAAAGCGACGATTTTTGGCCAGCTGATCGGCGGTTTCAAAATGGCCGCCGGGTAAAAAAAATGGTTCCCCGCTCTTTTCTGAGATGGATTCCTCACTGCACGGGCAGCGAAAATGGCCGCGCTATGGAGGATCGTCACTGGACTGTGAGTTTCAAGCCCATAGGAACGCATTAATCGGGTTTTAATGCGTTTCTATGGGCTTTTTAATTTCGCATTACGTTTTCGTTCTACAGCGATTTTGCTGGAACGAATTAACGCCGTAATGCGAGGCACCACTGTATTCCTCAGGCCTGGCCATGAAGGAGAGGACTGACTGCAGCTACAGTCCAAACGCATAGAAGGGCTCTACTCTGCCTGCTCTGGTGTAGGCAGATCAGCTGAAGTAGTAATTTCCTGTCTTGGTGAAGTGAGAGATTCTATTAAAGCAGGAATAGAGAATGTGAGGCCTTCCAGATGTTGCTGGCCCACAACTCCCATCATTTTAATTATCTCTTAGCAGCGGCTATGCAATGGGAGTTAAGATTTGTTGTGCTACATATGGGGGGAAATACATGTTACAATGATCAGCGACGGGGCATTGCTACTCCCTTAAGTCCCAACCCATATAACCAATAACACGCCATAACTGGAGTTGCAGCCCAGCAACATCAGAAGAGCCGCACATTCTGCTTTCTTTAATTACCACTACCCCGTCATTCACCAAAATCTTGTAGTAATCAATCCTTAAAAGGGGCCATGGATGAAGAGGGGGGGAAATCAAAACATGAAAGGACCAAACTCCCTCCAACTTAGGCATCTTGTGTTACATCAGTACAATGGAACAATTTTCTTCTCTAGATTCTCATTCCCTACCGGTATTACTCTGGCCCTACCCCCACTGCCTACAAAGCTATGCTCTAGATTCTTTCTCATCCTGGTCCAAGTTCATTGCTTGCTGCAAAGTTGCTTTACCTGGCAGAAGATGATACCCTGGCCCACTGTGATGCTTCCATAAATATTGCATAAGGCTTTGTATTTATCCTCTTTGTTCTCACACTCAAAGTAATATTGCCTGATATTGTTGAGAGTCAACTCCTCTCGGCGAAGCTTAATAATGTTGGGATCCGGGACAATAAGTTGTGCAAACCGTAGCACAGGATCCTCAAAGGTTGCTGAGAAGAGAAGCATCTGGCAATCTGGAGATAAATTTCTAGCAGGGAAAAAAAACCCAAAACAATATGTAAGAGTATGCAACGGTAATGTTTAAGAATAACTTGCCTACAGTTTTATGACACAGAGGAACTCATTCAGAAGTAGCTTGGCCTTTGCACATACTTGTTTCCAATGCTGGAACTTTTGGGAGAAAGGCTCCAATACAGAAGAGTTAATATCAACTGCTGGGACACTGGTCCCCAGGCATATGGGATAGTAAGAAAGAAAGGGCTGAAAAGTCTGAGTGCACAGGATTGCTTTGGATAGGTGTGGAGCTAAACAAGGCCAGGACGTATCAGGACACAAGAAGCAAGATGGGAGGATTGGGGAAGCAGATTCCACATCTAATTCCCAAGGTAAGGAAAATGAACATGATGTACACCCAAAAATGAGCAGAAGGGATATAAGGAGAGCCAATCCTATGACCTAAGAGAGGAGTCCAATATTGGCAGCCAAAGAAGAAATGAAATGTTTAGACTATAGCACCTGGTGTGAATTAGACATGGGACCTCTGTTTCTTTTGGACTGCAAACCCAAGAATTCACCAGGAACTTGAGAGCTACAACCCAGAAATAGTGGCTTAAAGAGGAGCTTTTCTCACCTCTGTATGGGCTTCAATCACTATTATATTTAAGTCTCTAAAGAAGGAAACCACTCCTGATGGTGTCTGGGAATAAGGCCAGGGAGTACAGGACAGGTAATCTGATTATTAGGGTCTATAGAGACAGCCATTCTATGTTTCCTTGAGACTCCCATGACATCGAGGCTTGACAAAACAGCAACAGGCTAAGTACAATATCAGGATTAGGAGGTGGCAAGACAATGGAGATGTATGGACGGTAGATCCCCATATCAAGAGACTGTGCTGGTCGCAGTATGTTTTGATGAAGAACCCTGGCCTGGGGGAGAACGTGGTTCCAATTTCATAGATTCTGCAACCCACGTTGATGGAGAATGTGTGAGATGTTAGCTCTTATCATGCCTATGTTTTGCCCCAATGTTTTGACCTTGATCTTGACCTCCTTTGACTTACTGATGCTAAGAGAGGTGGTCACTGTTGCCCAAGAGTAACCCTTGGAGATATAGATTTTGGCTAAGAGCTGGGGATATTCTGAACAGATAGACTTCGGAGTTCACCATCAGAACCAATCCAATATTGTGAGTCTCAATGGGATGATCTGAAATAGGACCCCTTTCTGGTGATCTGGCACCTACAGAGGTAGTTTACATTTCAAGTCTTCTTTGTTTTGCCCGACTGGATATCAGAAGTAGCTTTTCATTACTGTCTTTTAATCCATCTTCTTCTTGAGGGTCTAACTTCTTTCTTTCTTTCTTTGAGGAAGAGTGTACAGCTGTGGCTTGTGGAGTTAAAGAATCTATTGCTTTTAAGGACTTTTCCCAAAGAAAAGATTTTAATTGGGACTAGTGCTTCTTTAAGATTAATTTAGTAAACCCTCCTAACAAATGTTACATTTTTTAACAAACGAGTTTCTCTCAAACAAAATAGGCACCGACTGTGACCATCAGCCTGGGGAATTTTACAGCCACAGCTAGTACAATTTTTTTATTACTGTCCAAGTGGCCATCAACCATGGGAGGGGGGCAGCTATTGTAAGGGAAAAGAGCAGGAACGGGGGAAGGTGAAAATGGACTAACTTCTACTAACTTTGTATTTTAGAAAAGAGGCAAGAGAGTGTGGAAATTAAGGGAAGTTTAAAAATGAATAGGTTCAAGTAAATTTTATATGGCTGGTTATCTGAAAAGAATGAGCCTCCAGAGCAGTCCAATACTGTTGTCACCCACACAAAAAAGGGGGGGGAATGAGGGAAGCCAGTTAAGGCATGCACAGTAGAGGCAAAGGGAAAGAAGCTTTTCAGTCAGATGCTCTGTAACTTTCCACAAAGATTCATATGGGTGCCTAGAGTGGTCTTAAGTGACTAGATAGGCGGGATATAAATAAAATAAAATAAAATAAATAAATAAACCCATTTATGTGAAACATGGAGACCATGATGAAGGGTAAATCATATTAATTGAACACAAGTGAAAACAAGCCTAACCTGGGCAAAGGCAGGGAAAGATCTTGGGGAGAAACTAAGCTTGTGCTGTCAGGTCATGATCTTGACATAATTTTAAACCTGCATTACCGAGGCAGCAGAGCAAAGTAAACCATGCTGTTCAGTGGCTCTTTCCCGCAGACGGAGCATCTGTGGCTGACCTGGTCTCTCACCTGACCTGCACACATTTCCCCCACATGAAGCAAACTGTACTCAGCACCCGGAGCTGCTTTTGCACTGATGGGTCATAAAAACAGCCTGCCTTCCCAAAATAATAAATTAATTTAAAAGCAAGTTTAATCAGTACAAGCTACAGGTCTTTTAAAAACAAACAAACAAAAAAACACTTCTTCCCAGATTCTGAATTGCAAAAAACACACGAAGATTCTACATGCAGTGTTTTCAGGGAGCATCAATGAATTCATTTTTACCTCTGAATGCGGACACTCTGGTCTGAGAAACTTTGGGTGTCAATCATCACATCTGCTTCGTCCAACACAAATACTTTGATCTTTTTTACATCGAGAATTTTTAGCTTGAAACACCAATCAAGCATGGTTCCTGGAGTTCCAATCACTATTTGTTCTTCTATTACAGTCCCTCTTGGAACTAAGAAAGAGATCAATGAATGGAGACTTTTAATTTTGTTTAATTTACTGAAAAGACTGGTACAACAGGATACTATGCATGGGATTTACACAATGGTACATTAATATGCAACTTATACCAAAACAGCTGAGTGGAATCTGCAAGATTTTGTCTTATAGTCAACATCCCTAAATCTTATGGAACAAAGCCTAACATTGGTCACAGGTAGCAAGACAAATTAAAGTCATATATTCTTACGTCTGTTGCCTCGAACAGCATACGTAACTCGTACGTTGACACAAAATTTCCCCATCCTCTCAACTATGCGTCCAGTTTGCAAAGCCAGTTCAAAGGTGGGAGACAGACACAGGCACTTTAAAATGAGACCACACGAAAAAATGAATGCAACAAAAAGAAATGGACCAAATTTGTTATCATAATATTTGTACACTAAGCTTAATCTTCAATCTGATGCTATGACAATGCAAAATGTAATTTACATTATGCATTATGCAGTCATGAAATAATTGTTTCACTCCTTCCATCTTTCCTCAAACTACAGCCAGTTTTCCCCAACCTTTCTAAAACCATGTGCTCTTTAAAAAACAAAACAAAGAAATTTCATGCACCCTTCAAAGCTGTCTACAATATTTTGATTTGAAATAGTGACTAAAAGTAAATAAAAACCCTTGAAAACTTAAAACATTTATATCTTCTAATTTTTATTCTAGTTAAAGTATAAGATTGTATGTCACAGGACAATGAAATCAGTGTCATGCTAAGAAAATGATTTTCTCCGTTATTGCTTTTCTTCTTTTAATTTTTTTAAAAAATATTAAGTATGTTACTCCAAACGATATATGCCTCCTCTGAAATCTGACATTAATTTTTGTTCAATAAAGTTTTTGTAACCATTTCCTTCAGCAAAGATTGTATGTCAACTTCACAGCAGCATCCAGTTTTTTCAAAGGCCATCTCATAACAGTGACTAGGCACTCTCATGGCAGGGCTAGGCACCGTAAGGCCCTCCAGATCTTAGTGGAATAAAGCTTTAATAATCCCACTATATTTGCTGATTGGGATCAGTGAAAGTTGAAGTCCACCAGCATCTCGATGGCCACAAACTACCCACCTGTGCCTTATGACAGCAGTAAGACAGAGGAACCAATTACCTCAAGAGGTGGTGAGTGCGCGAACACTGGAGGCATTCAAGAAAAATTTAGACAAGCACCTGGCAAATAGCCTTTGATTTGTATTCCTGCATTGAGCAGGGGGTTGGACTTGATGGCCTTACGGTCCCCTTCCAACTTCACTATTCTATGATTCTATGTATGGTGTGCTGTAGTCCTTACTCAGGTTAATTAATAATTTTTTAAAAAAAGAGTGCCAGCTAGCATTTATGAAACCAACATGGTTCTAATATAAATAACAGTTATCTTTCTTTGCTAATTTTACCTGGGGAAATTTTTTGTTTGGATTTACTCTGCTCAGCATAGCCAGAACAAAAGCAGCAGTTTTGCCTGTCCCTGACTGACTCTGGGCAATGAGATTTTGTGGTCTGAAATACAGAATCAGGTTGGGATTAATGGAAACAAATGGAAACGGTCCAATGTACAAATACTATGCAACGTGTTCCAGATTCAGGGCAGTGGCGCTGGATATTTTGGACTTCAATTCCCAGGACCCTTGGCGATCCATCACGCTGGCTGGTGTGCTTCTGGAAACTGAAGACTAAAACCTCAGAGGAGCACAGGTTGCAAACATGGAGTTAAAGGAATAGTGGCTATTCTGGAAGTCTCAAACTATGGAAGAAATGGAATTTTTAAAAAAGAGACGTGGAGAGACAAGAGGCAAAATGAAAAAGCTGAATAAGTATACGAATTCAGAAAAAGAAAGCGGCATGAAACAGTGAGCAGAGACTATACAGTGGTGCCTCACACAACGAGTGCCCCGTAGAGCGATGAATTCGCTCTACGAGGACGTTTTCGCAATCGCAAATGCGATCGCATACCGATGGCCCCTATGGCCGAAAATCGCAGAGCGAAGGTCGGTAAGCGGTTCGCTTACCGACCTTCGCTTTGCGCCCTGCCGATCAGCTGTTCGGCGGCTACAAAATGGCCGCCGGAAGCCGCAAAATGGCCACGCGCAGCGTTTTCGCACCCTCGTTAAGCGAGGGGAGGGCGCGAAAACGGCTGCCAGCCATAGAGGAACATTGCTGAACGGTGAGTAAAGATGCCTTTTGGAATGCATTAAACACTGTTTAATGCGTTCCAATGGGCTTTTCTGTCCCGCTCAGCGATGTTTTCACACAGCGAGGGTTAATCCGGAACGGATTAACCTCACTGTGCGAGGCACCACTGTATAGAGGAATCTGAGCAGATATAATGCACAGAAATCTGAGTGAGGTAAAAAGATGTGAACAAGTAATTTTGAAGATAGTTGATTACACAATTGAAAGAATACAAAACTATATTGGCCACATGATTTTTACATAGTTACAGGGGATGCAATGTAATAGATAACAAGGCTGTAAATCAGACAGAGGGAAATATCTGTATGTTTGTTGAGAGATTGAACAAGACCCTCTGCCAGTTTATTTTATTCCGTAAGTACAGAAGTAAAGCCATTGTTCTTACATTAGCCAATCAGATAACTGTGGAAACTGCAACAAGAGCCCAGCCAGAACTCCATTCGTCTGTTTTTATTGCAGATGGGATATATTCCCACATCTACAAAAATCTAACAAGAATGGGTTCATCAGTTCACTAAAAACTGATGCAAGTGCCTCTCGCATTGACTACAACACAACTGTTTTGTTATGAACCAACTCATATTAACCCTACAGGGTAAGTGAGAGATGTTTAAGAAATGGTTTTATGAGTTCCACACCCCCAGTGAGTTTTCATGGCTGAGCAGGGATTTGAATTCAGCCCTCCCGCATCCCAGTCTGTCATTCTATCTACTACACCACCCTGCATATCACAACACAATTAATAAGAATCAATTTCTTTTAAAACTCACGGGTCAGCTAGCATCATTGGCAGAGCTGCTTCTTGGATCTTGGATGGTCTGTTGAAACCCATGGCATAAATACCCTCCAGGAGCTCTTTCTTTCTATTAAAGCAAGGAAAGGTTGGGGTTTTGTTTTTTTTTAAATAGATAAACAGTTCAGATGCTTCTGAACATAACTGGTGACTTCCTTCAGTCTGGAAGTCACAACATCTGACCTTCAGGTACTGTGAAGGTTCTAAATATGTATATCATGACATGCAAAAATTTAACCACCAGTCAGCATTATAATTACTACGAAAAATGTATACAGAAAAGTCAGCAATTAAACGCAAACTATAAAAGTCATAACCACAAAAACGTCAATTACAATTCAGTGTTTTTATACAAGAATATTACAAAGATATAGCAAAAAGTCCTGCACTCATTTTGAATTCTCTAAAACAATTTATCAGTAGATGCAAAGCCTGTAATGTAGCCTTATAAATGAGAACATGATGAAACCTGACAAAATAGACAATTAAAATGAAATTAATTGTATGAAACAAAGATGGGAAAAGTCTGAGGGATTGAAGGCTGATAGGAAGTTCTCATCATGAGGTGCACCAGGCCCACAAATGGACAAAAATGACCATGAAAATAAACAAACAAGCAGGAAGTGGCCCTTTTAGATTTTAGGAAGGACCATTGAGGGACTCTTGAGGAACCCACCAAAATAATGTTGTTTTAGAGGGGTTTTTTTAAAAAGCCAAATATAGATTGACTGACTGGTTGCTGTCTGGAATTTGAGGGGTTTCTGGGAGGGCCCTGGGAGCTGGGGAGGTATAAAACCAATTTGCAGTAACAAGCACACAAGATGCAAAGGAAACACAATCATTTAAAAGAAGAACAGGAGGCACAAAAAGTATCACAGTCACAGCCCTGCTCTTTATAGTTGCTCCTCGGCTTACCTATTTTCAACTGTTGAAATTCAACCATCCTGGGTTTAAGAGTCCTAGAGCTTATTCATTTGTTACCTTTGCATCTTTCCTTCATGTGGCTCAAGGCAGCATACATGGTGATCCTCTTTTTATCCTGACATCTTTGGGAGGTAGACGGGCTGAGACAGAAGGCGACTGGCCCAAGATCATCCACCGGCTTCCAGGGTCAAGTGAAGACTTGAATCCTCAAATCCACCCTGCATCCTTGTTGAAAACTCCTAACCCTTTTGTTGGCTCTTACTACCCAGAGAAGTGGGGAGTACATGGGTAACTTAGCATGGGGAGCAGCAAAACAATCAGTAGGCAACCTCTTCAATAAAATACATTTCCATGGCATGGCTGATTTAATGTACAATTAGATCTGTACAGCCTGCAATTTACCACTCAATTTGATGTACAATTCTCATTTCAGGTAAACCAGCGAAGGAAAGTCACTGAATAAAGCTATTCCTTTAAAAAGAAAACACTGCATGCATTACTCACAAATGCAACTCCTCAAAAGTTCTCACGGAAAACAAAGGTGAGTTGGGATCACGCTGCAGAACTTCCACATGATGATAGGATTCCACAAGAGATTTTCTGATCAACTTATTTAAGAGAGATATTTCTGCTAATGGCACTGTGTTATATGAAGAGGACACAAGCATTAGTTAGGCATATGAACTACTACTTCTGGCTAAGAACTGAATCATCCATTCAGAGAAGGCATGACCGCACAGATATACACAGAATGGCTCAAATGCATTGAAGCAGCCCTTAGTTATTCAACAAAGGAGGGGGGGGTCCTTTCAATGTCTCAGAGCTGGGATAAAATCCCCTTTGGCCCTAATAGTCACCTCCTGACGAGGCTGTCCCTATACAGGTATCATATGACAGCGAACCAACAGAAACAGTTGGTACCCAAAAACGTTTACTTCTGCTTTTGCCCTTCCCGTTTCTTTTTCATGTTTGTTATTACATACAATGGGAACTGCTATGGCCGTCAGAGAAGCCATCGTACAAGTGTTGCAAATAAAACATTTAATATTAGATGGAAGGGAAGTAATTGAAACTATCTACTTTTCAGTGGTCAGTTTCTGAAAATTAATTCCCCCCCCCCAATATTTCCACCTATCCATTTCACGGCTTATAGCAGAGGTGTGGAACAGGTGGCCAGCACAAAACTATTGGACTGCAGTGCCCATCAACCCTGATTAATACAGGCAATGCCTGTATTAATGAGAACTGCAATCTTGAAGTCCACTTGTTCCCCATATTTGAAACACAGGAACTTCGCATATCCTCTTTTCAGCTCACATCATGAGTTCTTGTCACGAATGGTACTACATTAAAACTATTCCCAGATCAATTTATGCAGCTGCAAAACTAAAGAATTTTCAAGATTAATTCAGTCTCTCTCCCCCCCCNCCCCCCCCCCAAATTACAGGAACCTACCAATAATCAGGATATAAGTCTGATTCTGCCAGGAGTCAGGCAAATTTCCACGTGTTTTGTTAACTCCAACATTATTACCAATTAAACATGACGCCAGGTCTAGATACTAATCACAAAGCTTTTAGTTTTCCGGACTGCTAAGAGATACTGAGCCACTAAAGAATGTATCAGCATCATCTACAGATTAACCCATCTGTCTTCTTTGATCCCTAAATTCACTTTTCAATTTCTTACCCTGGGGGTGGAAAATGTCTAGCACCTAACATCCAGAACCATTATACCTTAACTGGGAGGTCTTTTACTCTCCATCACTGCCAGCAATCAGCCCAACTAAGTTAAATAAATAAATAAAAATAAATAAAATAAACTACTGCCTGGAGGTTTTTCTGCAAGGGAACTGCGCTATAAATGGACATCTCCATCTTGGCAAGCCCACGTATGGACCACACTTCTACAGTTTGCAGGTGAGGGTTTCTGTGACAAAATCCTTTTTCACAGACAAAATTCATTGTATACGGAAAAGAGGTTGCAACATTTTAAAGCCCAACCCTATCCTTTTACATAGAGTATTTCAATATACAGAAGTAAGCTTGGTGGCATTTTTCCCCTATGGAACAGCATTTAATTCTTTTGAGCATAGCTCCAAACAGGAACACTACCTCAATGACAACTAGGGTCATTTATCAGCAACCTTACCTTTGTCTTCATCCTCAGTCTCGTCCCTGGCTTCCACCGTTCCTTTATTGTTCTTCTCATAGTTTCTCCCTTACAAAGATTTTTCGGAACACTGTTAGGTCTGGCTTTCATGTTTTTAGTCAAACAGTCCAAACAAACACATTACAAACAATATAGTGAAGATTAAGCTGAAAGTCACAACAGAAAACATCAAGATGGTTAAGCACTGCCCAACTGAACAGCATGAAATGCTGCTCTAGAGTATATCTTAACACTGGGGAAATCCTTTGAATTTTGAAGCAAAAACAAAATGGAAGGGCCTGGTCAGACCTACATTCTAGAATTTTTGTTTTGTTGGCTGGAAGAAATGGTGGTGGAAAAGTCGAGACTGACAATGAGGTGGGAGGACAGTAAATGGAGGAACACAGGTGAGTCACAGATGTTTTAAAACTATAGCAATGAATGAACAGGAATATAAGTAAGAACAACTGGTGCAAATATTAAAATTAATGAAGTAGATGACATTTTTATTGCAATGCAAACAAGCATCCTCTACTTTAGTTTTGCTTTTTGTTTTGCATTAAATGCGTTGCTACTATACATAGCAAAATAATGTCTGAGGAGGAGCTGTCAAGAACATCCATTGTTTCATTAGGCAAAAGAAGCGCACATACAGCTGGGAACAGAAAGCCAAAACAGGCAAGATTGTGAGAATACAAGGCAGCTCCAGAACTAAACTACAAGCTTACGCTTTTCTATTTATGAAGGCTATAAGAAAGTAAGCACAGCCCATCTGGAAAAAATCCTATTAAGTCAGGTATTCTGCTTTTTAACTGCCAACAAGATGCTGCCAGAAAGCTCATAAGCAGGGCCTGAAACAGCAGTGAACTTCCAGGTGTCATTTGGCTGCCGTTCCCACCACACCAAGACACTGTAATCAGTGGTGAGGAATGATCAGACACACAGTTCAAGAACTATATCCAAAAGGCCTCATGCTCCCCATTTCTGATGGAAAAGCAAGAGCCTTCTTCTACTGATCTCAGGTACTGGAAAGGGTCACTGCTGATTGCATTTTTTCTGATTTCCATTCTGGAAGCAAGAGATCATTTCATTTAGCAATTATGCTAAATCTCCCAGCAGCAGTCTCAAGAGTGTCCACACATTTTCCATATGGTTTTTTAAAAAGTGATTTGTGAAATGAAATGATGATCTGATCAATGGGCTGGCAAGGAAAATCAAAAAGCCAGCATACCCCTGGAAAGCTATTATGTGGCAAATTGCCCTGAAGATTAGAGGTTCCAATTGACCTCTGGTAAAACTATTCTCAATTAATCAGTCTCATCTTAAATATCAACTAAGATAATGGCACATCACCATATTCCATGGCACTGAATTCCATAAATCAAATAAGCCTTAGGTGAAAGAAGTGCTGAATGTACCACCATCCAAAGGATGGAAGATCTTCACTACCATTCTCTAACCCATCTGTAATTCTGAATCTTCTCTCCAGGCTTCCTTAGTTGGACTTCTTTTCCTAAACGAAAAAGGCTCATATATTGTTCTCTTTCCTTATAGATGAAGTTGCTTCAATTCAAGAACCTTTGTTTTGCATTTCTCTGCATGCTTCTGAGCTGTGAAGCGTCTCTTTTGAAAACCACTAACCAGAACTGTACAGAGATTCTAAACCTGGGCATAATTTATGATGTACAGAAGTTACTACAGTATTTTCACTTCACTGCTTTGGGGTGGGAAACCTCCAGTCCTCACTACTGCCTCTCTTTCATTATGGCTCAAGGAAGTCCATCATGGGCTCTTTGTCAAAAGAAGCCACAGTTGTCCATCCTCTCTCTCCCCATACTGGATGAACACATGCAGACACCCAGTGAGGGTGAGATCAAATGGCAAGAAAGTGCTTGACTGATTGCATCAGAAAAAGCTGGTTTGCTGAGAGCAATCTCCCTTAAAGTGCCTTTCTGTTCATCAGGGAACTGTTCCAGCCCAGCTTCAAAAAGTAGCAGCTCTCTTCCTGGACCAAACAGGTCTAGCTTGGGCATGGACTGGGCTAGACTCCTATTCTCCATATGTTATAGGATCACTGACTGTTCCAGCCCAGCTTCAAAAAGTAGCAGCAGCTCTCTTCCTGGACCAAACAGGTCTAGCTTGGGCATGGACTGGGACTGGGCTAGACTCCCATTCTCCATATGTCATATGATCACTGGGAAATATCACGCACCAGAACATGCCACAATAAGTCCAAACTGGGGGCTACATGCCCATGTGATTTACACCCCTACTCCACACTTATCACTCCCTTCTATTTGTTTGTTGCCCCCCTAGTGTAATTTTTCAATCGCTAATGCGATCGCAGAGCGACTGCCCCAATGGGCGAAAATCGCAGAGCGAAGGTCGGTAAGCGGTTCGCTTACCGACCTTCGCTTTGCGACCCGCCGATCAGCTGTTCTGCGGCAACAAAATGGCCACCGGAACAGCCAAAATGGCCGCGCGCAGCATTTTTGCGCCCTCGTTAAGTGAGGGGAGGGCGCAAAAATGGCTGCCAGCCATTGAAAAACTTCACTGAACGGTGAGTAAATCAGCCGATTGGAATGCATTAAACTAAGTTTAATTCATTCCAATGGCTTTTTTCTTACCGCTCAGCGATGTTTCACACAGCAAGGGTTAATCCGGGACAGATTAACCTCGCTGTGCGAGGCACCACTGTATCACGCACCAGAACATGCCACAATAAGTTCAAAATGGGGGCTACATGCCCATGCAATTTACACTACTCTTATCACTCCCTTCTATTTGTTTTTTTGTTGCCCCCTTAGTGCACTACTCTATTTTCTCCTCTTCGCTCCCTTCTCCCTTTCCACACATCCTGTGCAGCAATTAGGTTTAGAATACTTGTACCAACATCAACTGGAAGCATTTCTTTCTGTGCCTAATTCAAGAGAGCTCATTCCCACCAACTTCTTTTCTTGTCATCATTCCTTGCTAAGGAAAACACATTCAGTGGTGCCACCAGAAGACAGTTTTAGGTTCATTTTTCATGTAGTTTGCCAAGGTCTGCTTAAAGCTTGTTGGTGGAATTCCCACCATATCAATTAACTTCAAATGATTTTGAAACAAGGTGCCACGCAATTACCTTTGGAAGGGAGAAAAAATCCTACACTGAAGTTCTTTTGCAACCCTACCTCAAATTGCTATTTTTCAGAAGCTGACGAAAGAGACATGCACTCAAACAGTACTGCTATTAAAACTGATAAATGTTTGTATAATTCAGTAAGCGACTGATTACATGGGCTTTTAGAACAATGCAGGAATGAGCTGGTCAGCTTCTAAAGATGGAGAGTAGATGATGTCTGTATTGCGAGAGGGCCAGCCAGCCTCTAGAGCAGTTCTATCTATACCTTTTGTAAGGCTTCAACTTTTTTGGTGCTGGTAGGACCACTCTGGTTTGGATTGCTGAAATTGATCCAAAGAAAGCCTTCTAGTTTGAATCTGTCCATATCCTGAAGTGGCTTAATAAGCGAGCCACTTCAGGATATTGGCAAATAAATCACTTCTCTGTTCTGTAGAGGGGCAGAAGTGGTTAATCTGCCAATATCCTAAAGTGTCTTGCTTATTAAGACACTTCATAAGGTTATTTCCATGTGAACCATTGGGCTTGATCAAATTGTTCTAATAATGACTGACTACTCCAAAGTGGCCCACACTAGCTTGCTCCCTGGTGCTATTGTAATCTAGATATTTCAGGGCAGTTAAGATTTGTGGGAAAAGTTGTAGCACTCAAAACTTCCAACAAACAGTAATAAAACATCAGAGAGAAGTACCATACCTGAAGGAGACCTGATAGCATTTTCCTGGAGGGAGATAGATGGTATACTATGGAGCTAGAAGACAGGAACAAGATTTTAGAACAACACGTTCTGGTACAGTCAGTCTCTAACATGCAAGCAGGAGAAATAAATAAATATATACTGTATATAAAGAGTAGATTTGTCTAGATGGGTGGTATAAAAACCAACTAATATATATATTAGTTGGTTTTTATACCACCCATCTAGACAAATCTACTCTTTATATACAGTATATATTTATTTATTTCTCCTGCTTGCATGTTAGAGACTGACTGTACCAGAACGTGTTGTTCTAAAATCTTGTTCCTGTCTTCTAGCTCCATAGTATACCATCTATCTCCCTCCAGGAAAATGCTATCAGGTCTCCTTCAGGTATGGTACTTCTCTCTGATGTTTTATTACTGTTTGTTGGAAGTTTTGAGTGCTACAACTTTTCCCACAAATCTTAACTGCCCTGAAATATCTAGATTACAATAGCACCAGGGAGCAAGCTAGTGTGGGCCACTTTGGAATAGTCAGTCATTATTAGAACAATTTGATCAAGCCCAATGGTTCACATGGAAATAACCTTATGAAGTGTCTTAATAAGCAAGACACTTTAGGATATTGGCAGATTAACCACTTCTGCCCCTCTACAGAACAGAGAAGTGATTTATTTGCCAATATCCTGAAGTGGCTCGCTTATTAAGCCACTTCAGGATATGGACAGATTCAAACTAGAAGGCTTTCTTTGGATCAATTTCAGCAATCCAAACCAGAGTGGTCCTACCAGCGCCAAAAAAGTTGAAGCCTTACAAAAGGTATAGATAGAACTGCTCTAGAGGCTGGCTGGCCCTCTCGCAATACAGACATCATCTACTCTCCATCTTTAGAAGCTGACCAGCTCATTCCTGCATTGTTCTAAAAGCCCATGTAATCAGTCGCTTACTGAATTATACAAACATTTATCAGTTTTAATAGCAGTACTGTTTGAGTGCATGTCTCTTTCGTCAGCTTCTGAAAAATAGCAATTTGAGGTAGGGTTGCAAAAGAACTTCAGTGTAGGATTTTTTCTCCCTTCCAAAGGTAATTGCGTGGCACCTTGTTTCAAAATCATTTGAAGTTAATAGATATGGTGGGAATTCCACCAACAAGCTTTAAGCAGACCTTGGCAAACTACATGAAAAATGAACCTAAAACTGTCTTCTGGTGGCACCACTGAATGTGTTTTCCTTAGCAAGGAATGATGACAAGAAAAGAAGTTGGTGGGAATGAGCTCTCTTGAATTAGGCACAGAAAGAAATGCTTCCAGTTGATGTTGGTACAAGTATTCTAAACCTAATTGCTGCA